TATATATATATCTGACTGGGGTAAGAAATGCTATCCAAGAATGCTACTATTTGTCTAACTGAATTAGTCTGCAGCAAGAAAATTATATATTGTCCCAAAGATTTAAAAGGAGAACTCAGTAAACAATAGGGAAGAGTATTAGTAATATAAAATCCTATTCAAAGTGGCTTAAACTTATAAAGGGAATATATTGACTTAAACAGTTGAAGCCTCCATAGGGGGCAGTGGCTTCAGACATGGCTTGATCAGTACACTGACTCCATTCTGAATGACGCTATGAGCTTGCCCTGAATATTGGCTTTCTCCTCAAGCTGGCTCCCCTTAGCAAACTAACTGCAGTAGTTCCAGTCATCGCAGCTGCACATCACATGTCCAGAAAGAGAGAGAATGTCTCTTTTCCTGGCCATGAAGCAAAAGTACAGGGCTACATTCTGATTGGACCAGGTCAGATTATGAGCCCACCCTTGAGCTAATCACTGTAGTAAGACGGTTAGAATTACACTGATTGGTTTGCAAAATGAAGGTCAATTCCTAGACTTAGGGATACAGCCAACTCCACTCAATCAGCACCTATTACATAAAGGGAGAAGGTAGAATGGAATGGATGCTGGGGAGGAAACCAAAAGTCTCTATTACTGGAGAAATAATTCTGTATTTTCTTAACAATTCATTGAACAATAATTTATTATTGAGAACCTCCTGAATGCAAAGTTTTTGTGCTTGAGCTCAGAGGAATAGAGGGGATGCATAGATGGTAGTTCTTACCCATGATTTCAATTCAGGGATACAAAGGCCAGTGAACTCTAGGATATTCAGGTAAAATCCTATAGAAAGTGTGGGATTTGAGCTAGATGGTGATGCTTGGGTTAAAAGAGGGAAGGACAAATAAAGGTACTTCAGGTGAAGAAGTAGAGATTTGAAATCAAATAGGTCATTGCAATTCAGGGGAACTAAATGTTTTGATAAAGTACTTGTCAAAATCAAATCCAAAGATTTGATTCAGAAGAGGATGTGAAACAAGAAATGTCATTGCTGATGCCAGATGGATCTTGGCTGAAAGCAAATAATACCACAAAAATGTTTACCTGTGTTTTATTGCCTATGCAAAGGCATTCCACTCTTTGGGTCATAATAAATTATTAATAACATTGCAAAGAATGAAAATTCCAGAACACTTAATTATGCTCATGTGGAATCTGTACAAAAACCAATAGGCAGTTGTTCAAAAAGAACAAGGCTTGGTTTCAGACTGGGATGGGTGTGCATCAAGATTGTATCCTTTCATCGTACTTATTCAATCTGTGTGCTGAACAAATAATCTGAGAAGCTAGACTGTATGAAGAAGAACATGGCATCAGGGTTGGAGGAAGACTTATTAGCAACCTGTGATAGGCAGATGCGCTTGCTTGAAAGCAAAGAGGACTTGAAACCCTTGCTGATAAAGATCAAAGACTACAGTCTTTGGTATGGATTACACTTCAACATAAAGAAAACAAAAATCCTCATAACTGTACCAATAAGCAACATCATGCTAAATGGGGAAAATATTGCTGTTATCAAGAATTTCATTTTTCTTGGATCCACACTCAATGCCAATGGAAGGAGTAGTCAAGAAATCAAATGACATATTGCATTGGGCAAATCTTCTGCTAATGACCTCTTTAAAGTATTAAAAAGCAAAAATGTCACTTTGAAGACTAAGGTGTGCCTCACCCAAGCCTCATATGCATGTCAAAGCTGGAAAATGAAAAAAGAAGACCAAAGAAGAATTGATACATTTGAATTATGATGTTGGGTAAGAATACTAAGTATACCATGGACTGCCAGAAGAACAAATAAATCTGTCTTGAAAGAAGTACAACTAGAATTCTCCTTAGAAGTGAGGATGGCAAGACTTTGTCTCTCATATTTTGGACAAGTTATCAGGAAGGTCCAGTCCCTGGAGAAGGATATCATGCTCGGTAAAGTAGAGGGTCAGTGAAAAGAGGAAGACCCTCAATGGGATGGACTGACATAGTGGCTGCAGCAGTGGACTCAAGCACAGCAATATTTGTGAGGATGATGCGGGACTGGGCAGTGTTTTGCTCTGATTTACATAGGGTTGCTATGAGTCAGAACCAATCTGATGGCACCTAAAAACAATTACAACAAAAGTTATGATAAATTTGTCAAAATAAAATATTGTGTACACACCATATCCATAACACGATTGCGTTATTTCATTCCAAAGAGGGGAGAGAACATTTTCCTAGTAACCAAAAAAACTAAATTTATTGCCATTAAGTTAATTCCAACTCATAGCAATGCTATAGAATGGAGTAGAACTGCCTTGGAGTTTCCAAGGCTGTCATCTTTATGAAAGCGCACAGCCATATCTTTCTCCTTGGGAGTGGCTGGTGAGTTCAAACTGCTTACCCTTTGTTTAACAGTCAAGAGCTTAACCACTGTGTCACCAGGATTCCTTATTTTCTAAATATGTGAATGTTACTTCTTTTTCCTTTTTCCTTCTAAAGGCTGATCTCTCAAGAGTTCCCATCTTTATTTCTGTTATTAATACAAGAAAACATGTTTAGAGAGATTAGCTCCTTGACACTCTTAATTTCTGATCAGAAAATTGAACCTTTAGACACACTCATGACAGCCAAACAGGTTGTCATTGGCCAAGTGTCTTTAATTGTATAAGTTCTCTCTGTCTCTCTCTATCTCTCTCTCTCTCATATTCATGCATAAACACATACAGAGCAATATATCTATCATTTTCAACCATACTTGAATAGACTGGGTATGTTGTTGTTGTTGTTAGGTGCTGTCGAGTAATCTCCAACTCATAGCAACCCCACGTACAACACAACAAAACACTGTCCAGTCCTGTGCCAGTCTCATGATCCCTGCTATACTCTGAGCCCATCGTTGCAGCCACTCTGTCAATCCATCTTGTTGAGGGCCTTCCCCTTTTTTGTTGACCCTCTACTTTACCAGAAGGCTGGCGGTTCAAACCCACCAGCACTCCTCAGAAGGAAGATGGGGCAATCTACTTCCGTAGTGATACTGCCTCGGAAACCCAAGGAGGGGTCGCTATGAGTCGGATCCGACTCGATGGCACACAACAACAACTACTTTACCAAGCTTGGTATCCTTCTTCAGGGAATGGTCCCTTTTGACAACATGACCAAAGTAGGTGAGACGAAGTCTCGCCATTCTTGCTTCCAAGGAGCATTCCAGCTGCACTGGGTATAGCTAGTATTTTTCCCCAATTCTGCATTGGCCATCTCAGTGGTATGTCATGCTTACATTGCCAGTGGTATCCTTCTTGCTTTCCAATGACATTTCCTTAATGCCAGTGACTCATTCCCACCCTCTCTCCAGCTCCTCGGTTTGCCGCTGGGTCCTCTTGTACCATCCACTCCCACTTTTTTTTTTTTCCCCCACAATTGATTTTTGAAAGGAAAACTTTATTTTTGCTAGTTATCTATTTAAAAACAGAGATTCCCTCATCCAGATTGCATGAAATGAAAAGCATGTCACATTTTAACTGATCGGTTCATTTAGCCTTCATTGCCTTCTGTCTTCATTGTCAGTCTCTGTACTGCTTCCTGCCTGCCTTTTCTTTAAAACCTCATTAAATAGCTCCTCTCCCTACTCTAGTGCCTAACCTTCCATGCACAAATAAAAAGAACATACCTGATAGCATCTTTTGATTAGGATTAAGTCTCCATTTGGATTTCTGTTTTATTCTTCTAGAATCATTATTACTTAAAATGTAATCCTTAGAAAATCTACTTCAAAATTAACCATGGTGCTGGGTAAACATGCAGATTCCTGACCTACTGAATCTCTGGGGGCTTCAGAGCACAAGGTGATTCTGAAGCACAAGGAAGATTGGGAACTGTTGTTCTACCCTTTGGAGCAGAAAACAACCCCTCCAAAAAAATGAATAAAAATGAGTACTCCCAATCCTTTATGCTTTCACTTTAGGAGCTCTGGTAGCGTAGTGCCTCAGGCACTTGACTGCTAACCAGAAGGCTGGTGGTTCAAACCCACCAGCCACTCCTCGGAAGGAAGGTTGGGCAATCTACTTCCATAGAGATACCTCCTCGGAAACCCAAGGAGGGATCGCTACAGCACATAACAACAACAGCAAGAACCCCTTACCATGACAATCTCTGTTGTTACTGCTCTCTATTCACTGAAATATATGCTTTTGACTTCATTTTATGCTTTCTTCTTACTCTCCTAAACTAATCAAAAGCAAATATAAAAGTGGTGATGGTTGTTGTTGTGTGCCATTAAGTGGATTTCAACTTATATCGATCCTATAGGATAGAGTAGAACTGACCCATAGAGTTTCTTAGGCTGTAATATTACCTGGGTCAGATTGCCAGGTCTTTTCTTCCACAGAGCGGCTGGAGAAATGCCTTTCAGATGCCTGTCTAATGAGCTGTGTGATGCCTCATGTACTATCTGTTTTTCCTTTGAACCCTTGACACAGATCATTAAAATAAGGCAGTAGTTCTGAAAACACTATCCCTGAAGTAGCAAGCAGCATTAGTGCCACCTGGGATCTTATTACAAATGCAAATTCTTTTCTCCCACCACAGACCTACTGGATCAGAA